TATATATATATATATATATATGATTTTTTTCAAAGTTAACGGGTGCACGTGCAACCCCATCTCGAAGGATGGGTCCGTCTTTGTTTGAGATAGACGTACATAGAGTGTAAGTTAAATGTCACGTCACATGAAAAATAGAAAAATAAAGCTTGATGCACAAGTCATTCCCAAGAGAGAAAACTTCAAGTATTTGGGTCTATAATTTAAGAAAACGTGGAGATTGAAGAGGACGTCATACATTATATTGAAGTGGGGTGAACGAAATGGCGGCTCCATCCAATATCATATATGATAAGAATGTATCACCAAGACTTAAAGGTAAATTCTATAAAATGATTGTTAGACTAAATATATTAGGGGTTGGAGTCATGTTTGGACAGTTGGGAACCCACAAATTCAAAAAAATGAAGGTAGCACAAAAAAGAATGCTTAGATGAATGTATGTGCATATTATAAGAGATAAGATTAGAAACAAAGATATATACGCGGTAAGGTGGGAGTAACCCTCGTGGTGGATAGAATGCGGAAAACGAAACTAAGATGACTCTGACATATGAAAAAGAGGAGCACAAATAACCTAGTGAGGAGGTATGAGAGGTTGACAGTTATAGGTTTGAGGAGAGATAGAGGCAGACCGAAGAATAATTGGGGAGAGGTGATCAGGATATTATTACATCATCAGTTGATCACGAACATGACCCTAGAAAAAAAGCATGGAGATCAAAAATTAAAATAGACAGTTAGTAGATAGTCGAGAGTTCTCTCTCTTCCTGGTAGTTGAGCAGAGTTCTAAATGGGAGCATTCATTTGTTCCCTTACCATCATTACTATTATTATACTAATATTATTGTTCATGCTAAAAGAGGTTTAAAATATGAAAAAGTAAACATGTGAAGAAGCAAAGAAAATTCAACATATATTATATATAAAAAATAATAATTTAATTATGTATAAATAATATAATTTTATGAAGGGAATTCAAATAAATCTCTTGTTTAATTGACCCAGCTTAACTCCGCTCCTATTGGGTATGGTGTTTGTAATAATAAATTTATTGCATAAACCAAATTAATTATTTAGAACGATGGAAAGAACCAATTGCACACCCCTAAATAAGTTGAGTTGTTAAAAATTCTTGAAATCATGATACGTAAATGATAGAATGAAAACGTTTCTAGCATCTGAAAAAAACACTCACACATGAAAAAATCCTCCAGGAGAAAGAAATCTGCTCTATATTAGCAGGAAATATATTTCGAAAACAAATTAGAAATATTCATACATATATTTGTAGGGATAATGGTCTGAAAAATACCCTAACTTTGGTCGAATTTGCTGTTGCGAAACTAAACTTTCATAAGGACCTATTACCTCCCTAGACTATTTAATACCGTATTTTTTATCCCCTGAACTATTTAATAGTGTATTTTAAAGGTATATATGTGCCCACATGGACACATTACTATTTATAATT